ACTGTTTAGAATAACTGCTGAGTTAATCGATCCGAATAGGTAGCGACCCACGTACATCACATAAGCTTCTGGTTTTTATGAAACCGGAATGAAGGCGAGGAAATCCACTAACCCTCATTTATATTGTTGTTTGTCTTTCAGCATAATTCTTCAAGCAATCTTTCTCACGAATGGAGAAAATCCAGAGAAAGGGAAATTCCAGCATTCAATACGAAAATCAGTCCATCAATACTATTGCAGGGATCACTTTTTTATTAACATGTTCGGACATTTCTGGATAGAGCATCGAAAACCATTTCGGTGACACCGGGTAGGTGGAATATTAATTGGAGGTGTATGGTGCTTGACGGGAACAATACAGTTTTTGATCTCAGCCTATGTTGCATTTTATGAGTAGTATGATATGGTTTTACTGCCGGAACAAGGTGTCAAGAGCCCGTCTCGTTCGTTGAGTCGACCGGGATGCTGCCCTGTTCTATCTCGCCTGCAATAAGCCAGTACAGAACAGACTGCCAAGCTTCCATGGCTTCAGATTCACGAACCAGTCTAGATCCTGTTGTCCGTAGCACTCGTTCGACGAAATGCTGAACTGTGAGACGGCGCATAACAGACGGGATCTCCTGATACGGAAAAATGATTAGATTGCGAGCAAAGAAATATAAGGGTAGGAAACAGGATGGATTAAAAGCAGTATTTGGACACCAAAATTAATGGGCGAGATGTTACTCTATATATGACGAATGACAATCAGAGAGATACAAAAACAACCGGGGAAAGATGCCTATCTGCAAGCCTCCCCGCACAATAATGCCTCGGTATTTCACTTCTAGAGGTTAACCATAAGAACAGTAGCTTCGCTACTGATTGGAATACATTCGATAGTAGCGCATTCTTTTTATATTCGCTAAATACCGGGGTTGCTTAATGGCCGATAGAGAGTATCACCGCTATTTCGTCCTGTTTAAGGCTCATCAGCAGGGTACCCTACTATTTTCTGGGCCGATTCGCCAACCTTCCGACAAAGAGCTCACGACTAACATCCTAAGCACTACGTGAAATAAATATGGTCTTGGTAATTCTATGCGAATTCACTGAATGGTG